TTTAATATTTCTTTTAAATTAAGCTAATGTTTTTAAGCGAACATAATCTATTGGGAACTGCTCTAAAACTGCAAATTTTCGTCTAGATTCTGTTTATATTAATTAATCCTACATTGTCTGGATACGCTAATTACCATGAAAACGTCTGACGTTGGGTGGCACCAAATTTTTTCGGTTTCCATCCAATTGGGCCCAAAATTGGTCCTGTCCTGACCATAATGAGCAATATTCCGGACTGAAGCTTGAAGATAAGAGACGGAAGCTAAAGTAACCCAAGAATTATTTCAAAACTTTCGTTTGTTACGGCTTTAATATCAGCTTTATAAAATTCGATCTTTTGGGCATGGATTCATTTTTCGATTTCAATTACACTCTTTTCGTTGCACAATTGAATCCCGAAAATTTAAATTTAGACAATTTTGGCGGTCTGAATCGGATTAAAGACTTAGCCAAAAGAAGGGAAGAGAAAAATAGCTAAAATCTGTGTAAAAGCTGATGAATTTGAATAAACAATATCCTTTTTGACCTGATCGATGGCTTTATTTAGTTGTAAGCCCTATGTAAATTACGCCATTTTTGTAAATTTTCATTTTGCACTCAACGCAACCGATTTTCAAAAGATTTTCCACGTCTCAAAAAACTCTCACGAAACCCTTACATCCTTCAAAATCCGCACAAAGCCCCGGGGCTCAATTTCCGGCTCCCCCTGCACCGGAAAGTCGGTGGTTAAACAAGTGAAGTATTTGAGTGAGCTGGGGGTGAGCTTACTTAAAGGATTTCCGCGATCCACTCAAGTAGGCAATGGGGCGGGGGGGGCAGCTTCTCGGGCGCGCGAGCTTGTGGGCCCTGGGGGTGCGAATTTTTCACGTCTCGAAGGGCCCTCGACCCGGCTCGATTGGCTGCACCGTACCGTTCGGTTCCGACGTTTTCGTTTTGTTCTCAGGGGTTGAGGGATTTAGAGGAGGAGCTTGGATTGAGCGCAGATCAAAGTGGTCTTTAGAGTGAATTTTCGATATCATGGCAATGTCGGATTTTCCTCTTAAACTAGAGATTTTACCCATTTAAATTTGATAGCGGGTTAACAGGTTTAAAAATTCAATAATCGAATCATATTATTTGATAAAACGCTGGCTCTTTTTGAGTTTTATACCACTATTTTTCGGAGTTTAACCTTTAGCTTCGAACGCCTATGGAAATTGTGTTATCATTTTACATAAAACACCATTATGCCAATTAGCCTATCTAGAGTAATAGTTGTAGGGCTGAAATTTCCCAAAGAATCTTTGCTAACTTGCCTCCAGCTTTAACGAGATTTCTATAACGCAAGAGCAAACTTTTCAAAAAAATTTACGAATTTTCAGTCGTCCAAAAACTACCTTGCAAACATTCCCATAAAAAATCCCAGGTTCAGCCGTTCTTGTCCAAGCTCCCCTTCCAGAGCGCTAGAGGCCTTGCTGAAAGATCGTAGCTCTAAAAGGTGACAGCTTCATGTGTGTGATGTTGATGATGACAGGCCCCCCACCCCACCATCACCTCAACCCCCCGGAGGGTCGACACGGACCGCACGCATCCCATTTTGACTCGCGCGCCCTCACCACCCAAAGCCGCCCCGATCCCAGATCTTTTGAAGCGGGAAGGTTCTTTGGTTCTATTCTTCGGCGTTTCAATTTTTATCATATGATTTAAAGACATTTTCAATGCTTATCAATGCATTCTCACATTGTTTTTAGCTCACATCATCTTGCCTGTCCATTTTTCAGCTAATTGACATGAAAACGGTATTTAAAAGTGCCATTTAGCGGTTCCCTTTTTCAAAATAGCACCTTGACAGGGAATCGCCTTGTTTCGGCCTTTTTTTAAGATACTATGTAGACAGGGCTTCTCAAATAGGCCACGTCCGGCATTTGGCCGCCTTACCTATAATTGGTCCCAAAATTGGAGCAGATCGGATCCTAAATAACAAAACAATAATTCCGATTTATAGCCCCGGAGCAACATTAGGGTTTCATTTACAGAAAAATCAATTTTATTTTGCATTTTTCATGGGGTTGCCTTGGGATAGCTTTCTCTAAAACATTAAAATGATTTCGCAGGCCTACTTCACACTAAGAAATTTTCTGACAACCTTTGATCAAATAAGCATCAATATAAGCGATTCGACGTCAAAATTACCCAAAAATCTTAAGCGAAATTATTTGCAGCCGGAATTCGATGCAAAACGATGTAGAGCCCAAAAAGATGACCAAAAAAGTTTAGAAATGCGGACGAAACGATAGTTTCCTTGTAGCTCCAAGCTACAGTATCTATGGGGCTATTGGTCAGGATTGTCGTTATTTAGGGGCTGATACACCTGGGGGCTAAGTATCGGACCGATTGAATTTTTTTGTGACACCCGGTATATAGGCAGAATTCCAAGCCCATGCAATGCTCCTGAACAAGCTTTGGGCCCTTATACCCCCCGATTATCAGTGTCTAGACTTCGATGCCAATTCCCCCAGACGGCAGCTTCGTGGGTGGCCTCCTAGTGTTCGTTGTGTTCGAATAAGAGGGCCACTTCCCATCCCCCAAACCGTCGTCTTCGAGACGATCGACTGAGAAGAGGTGGTAGAGGGGGGTCTAGCTAAAGGGTGATGGTGGCTTTTGCCGTGGTGGGTGGTGGGTGTGGAGGGCCCTCTCGACCGTGTGGGGGCTTCTCCTCCGGATGCCGTCCTCATCCGGACACGTCACACACAGACACACACATACGCGCCCTACCCCTCCCCCTTTCTAATCCCACATTGTCTCGGTCTCGATGTGGCCCTGTCTGTGTACCACCCCCCATGAACTTCTTGCCGCCGCCCCCAGCCTGGTGCTTTTTTGTGTTCAGCTCCTGATTCTTGGGACAGTAGACGCTGGCAGCACAGTCTATTCTAAACCCAGCTTACCAACGTATATCGGCCTTTACTCCCTTTTCTGCCTCTAGCCTACAGTCCTCGGATCGTAGTAATAGCAACCGTTTTCGTATATCAGATCTGTATCTACGCTTTCCTAGACAGTTCCTTATCCTGTATCTAGCTTACAGTACTCCTATTGTAGTAACGACAACGTACCTCAATTCATTCGGTTTTCTATTTTGCATCTAGAGTACTGGATTCCTAATTCCGCTTCTGGCCTCAACATTTCCACTGTAGTATTGCTAAACGTTTTCGTTTACTCGATCTGCATATGAGCTGGCTTAGGTACGCCTACTTTGGAGATGCAACCTTAAAGCCCGCTTGCCGCTGCTTCACTATACATTTGCTGAATTTGCAAAAAGTCCTACTGTAGCTGTCAAAATCCTCTTCCGCTGCTCATATTGAATATTTATCTCATCTGCCCCTTTCTAAGCCTTACTAAAGCTTTTCCTGTATTCCGAACTGGCTCTGATTTCATTTGCTCTGAATTTTCACTCTTGGCTTTTCGCGTACTATTAGTGTTTTCCTAGTTATTAAATCCTGATTATACATTAATTCTCAATCTTTATCATCGTGGTCCCAAGACACTACTTCTCCACTCTTCGGCTTCGATTTACTAGGGCTGGATACCGGCTTTGGGCAATCCTGTAACTTTAGAACACCGACATTAGGTGTGGGTCGTACTTGATGAGGAAAATCTTCCTAATTGATCATTTTCTACCACCTGTGTGGGTTTTTGATTGCGATAAATTTATTCCGGGAATTCCCATATTTTTCACTTTTTTCGATACGGCCGGTGGTCTTCCTAGTTTTGTAGATTCAAGTTGTAACTTTTGCTTTACCGCCATAGGTCCTTTCTTACAAAGACTTGCGTAAAAGATAATTGATCCCTAGGAAAAGTCCCCCAATTCGATCCGGTTTTCAACAATGACTAGCAGGCCCAGCAATTAGCCTTGTGTAGGATGACGTTCTCAAAAAAACCAAAGGAATGTCTCCAGTCCACACCCCCCAATATTGATCAAATGATTCATTTTCTGTCTTCTATTTGTTCCACCCCTCCCAAACAATTAATGACTGGGGGGTGGGGGTGGGTCCTAAGGGATGGGTCCTAAGGAATTGGCGGGGGCCCACCGGGCTAGGCGGAGCGCCGCGGCAGCCGCCACCTTCCAGGCGGCCTACCCCGGTTTCCGGTTTTCCGCTCCCGACCGGGAGGACACACGTGAAGATCGGTGGTGGTGGAAGGTGGTGTATATTTGATGGAAGAGGGCCCAGGCACAATACAACCACCACACGTCTTGACAGACAGATGGAGAGAGAGAGACATAGAGAGACAGCGAGAGAGGCAGACAGAGATACACGGTTGGGGACAGTCACTTCATCTTTTCCCACAGCCTTCGCGACATCGCGCCCCCTCAGGAGCACACTTTAGCAAATCATCTAGCCTGCATTCAGTCAGTCTATTCAAGGCTGTTCTCCTGAAAAAAACGGTTCTGGAATCGATTTTGTTTCCAGGCTAGTCGCCATAAATTCTCAGCTAGCCTTGAACTACTTGGACCTGACGTCGTGTACCGCGACTTACCGCTGGGTATCGCGAGTTTAAGATCGCTACTTCATGCACGATATTTCTTATCAAAGCTTTTTTATGGCAGATCTTTATAGATTTCATCATTAACCGGCGTAGTTTTTTTTGCTATCTCTCTTTTTTTGCTTTCACTCTCTCTCTCTCTCTCTCTCTCTTTCCTTTCTCTCTATCTCCCGCTCTCTATCACTCACTCTCTTTCTTTCGTTGGCACTCTCGCCGTATATATAAGTCTATCTAGCTTTCTCTCCCGCTTTCTCTCTCTCGCTCTCTCTCTCTCTCTCTCTCTCTCTCTCCATACCTTTCCTACCATTTCCTCTCGCACTTTGCAACCCGCTTCAAATTTCATAACTTTCATATGTCTGGCTCCCGTTCAATTCACTCCAATAAATTTTACTATATAATTTTTATGCAATTTTTTAAACCCGCTGCCGATTTTTGTATATTATCCCCTATTCAAATTTTCCTTTATTCAGATCAGTCGCTCAATGAGAGGCTGGCGGACATGGCTGCTTGTGGCGGCCTTGTCGGGGCTAGCCATTGCCCACCAAGATGATGCCACCTTCCTCACCGCCATGAAGTCGCTGATCTGGGGCCCGCACGAGGTCAGATTCACTTTGAAAAATTCGAATTTTCATTTTAGAATGGGACCCAAATGGACCCGGCCAAGTTCCATCAGTACAGCAGTGCGGGTACGTCTTTTAGAACTTATCTCTTGTTTCTTCGTCTGATTTTGCCTTTTTAATGTTACATTCCACGCTAGTAACAATTATATTGTTTTTACTTTAACTTTCGACATCTAAAAAGCTACTTAAATCTGATTATCTCAAATTTTAATGTTTTCGTTTTTTATACAGAATACTGTAATTTGATTCTATATTCCTATTTAAATTTAACCTATTTAAATTCTTGGTCCTTTAACGTAAAAATTCATCCAAAAATAGCTCGTAAATAACTGTTATTATTCTCCAAATGACGACAGAAGAATTGTTAAAAAACCCTGCCATTTCGGAGGCTTTTTGCACCTTTTTGCGAGGAGAAGAAATTGAAATTTCTCTATTATTATAGGACATAAATTACGCTGAATAATCCCTAAGCATCATTGCTAGCTTGCCCTCATCCTTAAATTTCTTATGTTTTTGCTTGATTTTTCAAATTTCGCTTTTCCCAAATAATCCCTGCTAGCTTGCCCTCATTTTTTCATTCCTACGGTACCTTTGGATATTCGCTACGGTATCTTTCTATTCGAACACTGAATTTCCTCAAAAATCCTCGCTAGCCGCCGCAAAAATGTCGATATCATTTCGGGATTCCGTGTGGCAACCGGAGACGTGTCTCAGACACACACGTTTTGGTACCCTCTCTCCCGCCGGCATCGGTCTCTCTCGAGATTCCGCGCCCGCAGGGTAGAGGGAGGGATCGTAGACACACAAACAAACACACGCACAAAAACTTCCCGTCACTCTAGAATCTCGATGCCTAGAAGAATCGCGACGAAATGTGTGTGCACAACAGCCATCCCCCGGGGTCCAAGACACGTCTTCTGGGCCAGCCATGCCAGGGGGACGGCGCGTAGCAAAAATATGATGCCAGTAATGGGGTGTAGAATAGCTGCATGCGAAGGAGAATTTAAATGAAATTACATTATTTCCGATATGCTAAATTAATTATGCCGTGGCGCAAAATCCCGAAATTCAGAAAGGCAAAACTGCTAAGCTCGCAATTTCGACATTCTGGTTTTCGAAATGCCAACATTTCTTGAATTCTAAATTTAACCAGTTTGACCAGAAATTCGAAACACTCCTAAGGGCAACGGCATTCTCGTTTTCGACATGTGAATTTTTTGGCATTTTTGTCGAAAACTTGGTTTAGAATATAGGCAGAAAATGGAAATTTCCAATAATCTTTTCATCTTTGAAAACGACCAGAATGTATTTACAACCTCAGAAATTTTTTGAGACATTTTGAAAATCTCCCTAATGTTTTTAGACATATAACCAAAAAATAAAATTTTTTTGTGGCATTTTTAGTCGATTTAAATTGGTGTATCCATCACTATACGCATCTAGAAACTCCTGAATATTTTTATTTGTACTATGCAAATGCAATGCCATGCAACTCTGTTTTTTCAGGTTTTGGAATTCTAGCATTCATAGCTCTATCTAAAAATACGTTCTTTTAATACACTTATTCTTACAAATCACTGCTTGCTATGTCAAGGAAATTTTATACTTATCTCGATTTTATCCTTGGACGTCAATTTTAAAACTCGAAGACTACTGGAATCCGATTTCTTGTTAAAGTCTATCTACCAAGCCTTATTCAAACGGAAAATCCAGGCAGCTTTCTTTTTTTTAGAAAAACATGCTCAAAAATCAAGCTGGTACATGCCAGAAACAGCTGGTTGTTGCCAGCCCGAGTTCGAAATTCTATACCCAGCATTGTTCAATTGTTTCAGCCCGTTCCTCTTCATCGTCGTCTGCCGGTTCATCGGTGTCCGGTTCGGCGTGCACCCTGCCCCAGCAAATAGGCACTGGCCCATACCGGATACCCAGATGGTTTGTTCATGGCTCTTTTTCTGTCACTCTCTCTCTCTCTCTCTCATCTTTTCTCTCGCATCCACAACCTACTGCGTGCAAATAGAGTCCCACGAGCCTTGCAGTGACACAAACCGAAAGATGCGATTGTAGGGTCAAAAAAGGGAATGAATAGCTCGTATTGAATACCGGAGTGTAGCGTAGTGATTTTGCAGAAAAATTTAGATTAACGTTTTTACGGAATTTTTGGTATTCTCAGGGGATCGTGAGGTCGGAAACTATTTATATTGGCTATTTTGGCCAGGAATAGCTGTAGTAAGCAGAGTGTAGCGTAGCACTTCGGCTAAAAAACCAGATTCCAGTTTTCAGCACCTTTTTGGTATAAAGGTCCTGAGAGGGCCGAATTTTTTTTTATTTATTTTCGTTTGCTTTAAAATATGACCGACGATCAAAAACTCTAAATTTTATTCTAACGGCAACCGGGTTTGAGCGCATTTTAAAGGAAAAGGCAAGGCTGTTTAAAGACATTAAAAACTCATTTTTCTAATAAAAAAACTGATTTTCTTTAGGTATTACAACCCTGCCCGCCAACGCTGTGAGCTTTTCTACTGGTCGGGCTGCTGCGGCAACCAGAACAATTTCCAAACCTTCCAAAACTGCCAGCAAGTCTGCGAAGGTAAGGTTGACTACATTATTACGGTAGCTTAAGTTATTATTTACTATATAGATATTATATAGCTATATTCTCTATTTATCTTCAATTATGCTTTTGGCCCGGCCGATTTCTCATGATAATCTATATTTATATGATTTAATGCAAATGATGTAATATAATTGTGCTCTAAATTTGCATGGGGATTATCTATTTTATTTAGCTTTCTTGAAAGACCAGGAAGTCGGGATCTTTGGCTTCCTGGGTTCTTTAAAATAAGAATTCTATATTTTTTTTTGATCAAGCATGAATTTTTCTCGTGTATTTTTGAATTCATTCACTTGGATTTTGTACTTTGCATGGGTTTACTGGGCTTAAGACGTAACTGGATTGTATTTTGGAATCAGCATGACTTTTCTCGGCCAATTCCTCATCTCTAGCTTTCTATCTTTCATGATCAATATTTCTGATTCTCCAGGTGTTCCGAAAAAAAAACGAATTTTGGGCTAATCCGATCAGTTTTTATCTGATTTCTATCCTCAAAATTGCCATTGTTGGACAATCGACTCGAATTCTTCCGTTTAATTCCTAAAAAAGTAGTCGGAAACACGTCCAAAAATTCCTAAAAAAATCAATTTTTGGCCAGTATTTTTAGTATTTGAGAATATTCTGCCCTGAAAATTCACGTACATAACTTTTCTGAGCCCGAACTTTCATTAAAAACTTGAAGTTGATCGGATCATGCTCGAAAAGCGCTTTTTCTCGCAACCCTTTATAGATCTTTCTTAGAAATCCGACTAGTCTCTTCCCCCTTTTTCTCTTTATAGTCACCAAGCAGACGCTGGAAGATGTGCGGTGGATGCCGTCGTACTCACAGATTGTCGACATCACCGTAACGATACCATCATCATCATGTGGTTGTGCCCGTGCCCTTGGGACCCAGTGGCCAGTGCCTGGGGCTGGAATGTCCCAAACTACCGGCCAAATGGGATGCGCATGCTGTCTACAGCCTTACAGTGAAGGGCATGGGAGCCAGAATCTGCAGCGCTTCTACTTTGAGCTTGGGGAGTCGAGATGTAAGCCGTTCGTGTATCGAGGCCAAGGAGGGCAGGGGAACATCTTCGACACGGAGATCCAGTGCTCGAAAGCCTGCCAAGCATTTGGGCCCCAAGCGCAGGGCCAATATGTGCCCCAGCAACCGGAACAGCCGATCGTCATGCCAAGGGTCACATTACCACCGATGGAGTTGCAGCCGGTGAAAAAAGGTGGAGCCGAGCCGGAAGTGTTGTGAAGTGTGTTAATTGTTTGCTGTTAGTTTGCGCTGTTTTTATTGCTTTAAAGGGATCGTGAAGTCAAATTCGGTTTTTCTTGACAATTCCAAGGTTCTATAAACCTCACTGTCCTTTTAAATTGACGTGTCCCGGTAATAGTTGCTTAACGGGGGGATGTATAACGGGGGCGGAAACGTATTTTGTATTTTTTAATTTTTTGAAACACCAGGTTCCAGACCCCCCGTTAAGCAACCGTTACCCGCGTTCCTGCCATTTCGGCATTGCTTAAATCCTTCAATTCTCCCACTCCCGATTTTACCCCCCACAAAACACTGCTTTTCGTGTGGTTTTGTGTGCTCCAAGCCTTCATATATTGCAGTGGACCCGTGTGAGCAAGAGCCCGAGTCCGGGGTCGGCGCGCTGCAGCTCAGCCGCTGGGTGTTCAACAAAAAGACGAAACTCTGCGAGCCGTTCGTTTACTTTGGATCGGGCGGCAATCGGAATAACTTCGAGACGTTGGTGGAGTGCCAGCAGCAGTGTCCGGGTACGGCGCAAGACTATGGATGGTGTCGGCTACGCGGGGATACTAACGCACGATGTGAATTTAGCTGCACAAATAGCTAATTTTACATTTTGTGGTGGTTTATGTACCTTTTATATGCTAATATTTAATACCTTAATATCTACTAACCCATCAAAATTTACTCTCCTAGATATCCAGCTTAATTTGCATAAGTTAGGGCGGTGATGGAGTAGCCTGCTTTACCTTGGTTCCCCACGAAAAATCCCATTATATACCTGGGATCCCTTAAATTGGTATACCGGACCTGGTGGTGGCTGCACATTCCGAGAGCGTTGCATCGGAGCATCGCTAGTTCAGCACGAGTTTATTGAGTTTTTTTTAGAATCGCCAAATCCGTGCGCGGTGCAGACGACGGGGCCGCTTGTACAGTGTATGGGAGGGAGTAGCTGCGGAAGTGGATATTATTGCCATAGTGGAGCTGTGCAGAATACGAATGTGTGCTGCCCACGACCATGTGAGTTTGGAGTTTGGAGTTTAGGGACTGTTAATCCTTGCGTTATAATTAAACATCTATATTATCTAATTTCCAGCAAGCCTCGATCGTTGCCAACAACCCCTCAACATCGGTATCGGAAACGAGAACCTGCAACGCTGGTACTTCAACCCGCTCACCCAGCAATGCCAGACCTGCGTCTACAAGGGGCTTCAGGGCAACGAAAACAACTTTGCGTCCAAGAACGATTGCGAAAATGCGTGTCAAGGTATGTTGTCTTGTCAGTGTTAATTCGGGAAAGTCTTTCATTAATCCTGGAAAATTCCTCCATGCTCTCCACTAGTACGTCTGGCGCCTTTAATGACATTTCAAATATCGCTAAAAGCTTTGAACTCTAAAGTTCTGAAATGCTCTCATTAATACTGAAAACTCATGTTTTCACCAGACTTTGCCTTCCACGTCCCTTTAAATGGTTTTTCGCGTTTAGGAGCATGAGTACGATAATAGTTATCTTAACATTAATGCGCTCGATTATAAACCGAGTTTTGACGTCTGCTTTGTTCCAAAAGAACCGCTGCTAGCAATTTAAAGATTTTTTCCTTCTTAAACCCTTATAAAAATGTCTCGCTGTTTTGAGGCTTTATTTATGTATGGTTTATGATTACAAACCTTTACAGTAAACCCATGCCGTGTCGGGTCCCCATTCCGAAGCCAAGGCATCACCGTCCAATGCTCTGCCATGAACCCTACCGTATGCCCGGCCGGCTATTACTGCCATATCGGAGCCGACCAATCGACTTCTCTCTGCTGCCAGGCCCTAGGTACAAAAATCGACAACATTTGCATATTTGCAATGCCAGGATCTGATTTTCTAACACCTCCCAATTGATACTAATCGATTGAAAACTCCATTGGATTCCAAATGACACCGTGGCGTCTCAACTAACATGAGTGGTTTTGGCAGTGCGGTGGCGAATCCGCCGTTTAGAGGATAGTAGTGGAACGTACCACAGTACATCTCTACAGTACACCCACCACAACCCCCCATCCCCCACAAAACACCCCGGGTGTAGAGCATTTTTGGTGATGGATATTCGGGAGGAGGCAGTGGATTTGGTGAGTTGGATTTATTTTATGATTTTTTTTTTGGTTAGGTTGCACGTTTTAGGGTTGGTGGTGGTTTTATATTTACGCAAAATTAGTTATAATGTTAATGGTTTTGGATTCACATTCTGTTCTTGGGTTTTTGGTTGAATGGATTTGTTTCTGTAATTCTTGAGGTTTTCGCAGTTTTTGCAAAAATTGTTAAAAAATTTTTACAAAGTTTTATTCTTTATTTTTGTATTGTTTTATATAAATTAATCTTTGATAAGTAAATAACTTAAATCCGGGAAACTTTTATATGTAAATTAGCCGAAGATTGAGATGTTAGGAAGCGTTTTCTAACTTTATTGATTACTAGTTTGATTAGTTAAAATCGCTTAAAAAATTTTTATCAAAGTCTAATTTCAATGCCAAAACATATTTTTTAACTTAAAAATGTGGATTTTTCAGAGTTTCAGATGTTCAATAAAAAATTCAGAACTCTTTTAAAATATAAAATCTCGATTTTTTTTTGTTCTGAATCGAAATTACCTTTTTAGGCACAAACCCGTGCACGGAACCAATGCTAAAGGGCGAGGGCACCGGCTCTCTAACCCGCTTCTTCTACGACTCCATGCAACGCAAATGCCTCACCTTCAATTATCTTGGCACCAAGGGAAACATGAACAACTTCATGACGCGAGAGTTATGCGAGGTTGGATTTTATTTTATTTGGATCATAAATTGATTCTTAGAATGCGTGCCCGGTGTGGAGCAACCCATGTGCTGTCGGCATTCCGATTATGGGTGCCGATCAGCGGCCGATGAAGTGGGTGGAAAAGCGTAGTTTGGAGTTTGGATTTAGGTGCTCGAATGTTTCACCGTGTCCCACCACCCATTTTTGTCATCTTGGATTTGATGAGGCGACGACAGTTTGCTGCCCGGCTCAGGTGAGGGATTTTAAAGGGACTGGGAAGGTAGCTAAAATTTATAGAATTTTTTGGCGTTTTAGTGATTATTTTTACTCCAGAGGCAGAACAAAACCTAGGCAAATAAAAGCTCTAGATATTGTCAGAATAGTATATAGAATTTTTCTACTGTTTTTTTTGCGATCAGGTATAACTTCAAGTTTTTATTTTTGAAGTTAACGGTCTGATCGTCTAATTCGTAACTTTTTAATGTATGTTTTAGGGTGACCCCTGCGTGGTGCCAATGACAGAAGGCACCGGAAACCAGGCAATCCACCGGTGGTTCTACAACGACAACACCCGCCAATGCCAACCATTCACGTATCGAGGATCCGCCGGAAATGAGAACAACTTCTTGCTGCGCGAACACTGCGAAGCCACCTGTCCCGTCTGGCTGAACCCATGTCCTCAGGGAGAACCGATCCTCAGCGCGTAAGGAATTATTACAAGCTTATAGCGTTGGCTTTGAAAGAACACAGTATTACATTCATTAATTTTGTATTATAGTGATAACCGACCACTAAGCTGTGAGCCAGACGTGGAAGGAGCATGCCCCTCCTCACATTGGTGCCATCCTGGCTCCGACCCCTCAACGTCGTACTGTTGCCCCGGAAACTCTGATCCATGCCTTCTAGCGAAAACCGAAGGAGATGGCCCCTTGGCGTTGACGAGGTAAAGTAAACACGTTTTCTGATGAAATATGCTGTTTATTAGTATTATTAACTAAAAATGAGATTTAGATACTATTTCGATGCTTCTCGGCGGCAATGTCTCGAATTTTCGTACCGCGGATTGAGGGGAAACGCGGTAGGGTTTTTGATAGGTTTATTTAAATTCTATTACAAAGAATTTATGCATTTAAATTAAATATGGATTTACGCTTACTAATTCTATTAAAATGCTAAAGGAATTTCGAAAAATAAATCAAAACTACCATAAAAATATCAAAATTACCACGTGTTTTAAAAATTGGCATTATGTAAAATTTCGAAATTTTCAGCAATGATTAGATATTTCAATTAGTAATGTTACAAATTATATAACATTATTTAGAACAACTTCATGACCGAAGGGGCCTGCGCTAGTCGTTGCCCGGTCCAAGTGGACCCTTGCCCGATCACCTTCTCCAGCCTAGCCCACGTTGTGACTTTGGTATGTTAATTTTGTATAATTTTTATTTGCGTATTTGATAAATACAACACCTTATGAATCTGAATTTTAGACAAAATGCTCGGGCACCTATTCTTGCCCCGACCAACAGTGGTGCCACATTGGAGCCACGGATGAGACGACTGTTTGCTGTCCCAATGGTAGGCGTTCAAATTCAAATATTTATCATAAACTACACTAAAAAGCGCTAAAAATTACTAACAACCAAATACCCGGAAAAAATGTGGAAAGTTTTTCGAAAACGGCATGTAGCTGGCAATAGAAAATCTGGGGTATGTTTCACTCCTGGCGCTGCACCTTGTCGGGTGGTGCATAGTTGTCGGGTGGACGGATACCGTAGGGGCGAATGAGTTGAGTGATGTTGAATGTCGGGCCGTCACGGCTGGTTTTGAAGGAGTGGAAACTGGCAGAGATCCGGATCCATCTGGAATTTTTGAGATATTCGAATTTTCAAATCTTAGTTAGTTATGTACTAGTGTGATAGCGGGGGGTCAGATTACCGGAAATGGAATTTTTTTGTAAAACCATTTTTTCTGGCTGTAAAAAGCGTTTAGCATATTTTTGACGCTCTAACAAACGTAACTTCCGAATCATCGAAAATCGACTTCCACCCCGTTATCCTGTTTATTCTCATAGTTTTTAGAACGATAAAATTTCTAAAATAAGTTTCAGAGCTTAATTTAATCATCTTGATAGGGTTTTCTTCGTTATTAATAGAATAGAAAGATTAAATAAATTCAAATAAGTGCTTTTCTGTAAATTTTCGATGCATTCATTAATGCGCTTACAAAGTGGCCGCCGTTTTCTGTCCCTTCAAAATCGGGCAAGCGCCGTGCAGCGATTTGTTGGCCTTGTCCAAATTCTCGGCCTCCATGTTCAGCCACAGCATCACGTCGCCGACCTCGGGGTGGACGGCGTAGCTCAATTCCGGGAATAGTGTGCCTAAAGGAAATGTGACCGTTGTTTTTGCGTAGTTAGCCGCCAATTTAAGCTTGAATATGCATACCTCCGCCCTGTTCCGCCGTTTCCAGTACTGCCAAAAACGTAGCCAGCCTTTGCCCGTGTTCCTTCATCCACCAGTCCCAGCTGTCCGCATTTGGATAGTCCAAAAAATCAAAATGTGGCGCGTAATGGCCGCCGGGTTGGTAAGACAGGGCCTGAAAAATTTTGTATATTTACAGTATGCCTTAATAAGGGCAAAAACTTACATGCCACTGCTCTGCCGCATCAAAATTTAGGGTTGGTATCCTCCTTTGGGCGAAATTGAACAACTTGCTGGTGATGTCGTTCTTAAATTGATATTAAAAATGTTATAGATACCTTTAATAATCTTAGCAACCTAGATCCAGAATCAATAATCCCAATTCCTACCTCATGATGCGTTAACCAAGTCCCATTTGCTCGCCTCGAATCGTGCATCGTCGATTGGGAATCTTTCTCGTGGTCTACCACTGACTAAAAATTACCCAATTACCGTAGTCCTCAAATTCCTGCCATAGCCTTCAGCTCCTTCTGATGAATATACTTTCGGAATTCCAGCGCATCATGGAGGGCGAAAAATTTATGGAAAACAACCAAGATTGGGTCTTTTGAGAGTACCTAAAATCCGTGAGCTACCTGCCACGACCCCCCCTTCAAACCGACCTCCACGTCCACCCAACTATAATCAATCATAAAGCGAGCGCAAATATAGGCTAAACATTGAGTTAATTTCGAACTAAATTTTTTTAAATATACCCGGATTATCGTGTAGTTCGAAAACTCTCTGATCACACCGTTCAAAGTATGACTCCGACCAGTAGCTTTTACCGATAAAGTCGATATCAGCACTTTCTAAAAAAAAATTTAGAGGCTGGGATAATCAAAATAGAAAACTTTTATTTAATTTTCTTCTTTTTGCAACTTTGAAAAACATTTAATACCCAAAATTTAAATCATGAAACGTACTTAAACTCGGCTCATCACCATGGGAGTGCCCGCCGTGAGAGGTAGCTATTTGGAAAAACGCAGATATGCAAAGCCATAGCATCTAGGTTAAAGGGATTGTGAAGACAAATCCATGGTAATTTAAAGAGAAGAAAAGAAAACGTAAGGAGTAAAAATTGGAAACGCCAATTTTTTGAGACGCCTTGGTTTCTAGGTTTTGCTTGGCAGCAGGTAGCTAGGGAGATTTTGGGGTTTGAGATATTTGAAGAAGCATTTTAAAAAAATATAAAAATATAGGTTTCTCGGTGTTCCACTGATTTACATTTTGCAACTACTGTCCAGCGGAGCGCATCGTAGTTTTTTGTAGCCCCCGGTAGCTATTTTTGTATCTGAATTTTTTTAAAGAATTTTGCAAATATAGATATAAAATATAGGTTTTTCGATAATCTAATGATTTACATTGGCAACTACTGGCCATTGGAGTGCCGCGTAGTCGACATATAGTGTCGAAGCGGAGCCTGGGAAATGGCAGGGCGCGAGAAAATCGGGGACAAATAGAACTTGGTACCGTTGAGGAGGGGGATGGGTACACAAAATAGAATGGAAGGCAATAGACACCGGGTGGGTGGAGAAGAATCAGCAGAAAATGAGAAGAAACAGAAGGGGGGGGCTGAAGTTGATGAATTTACAAAACAAACTGAGAAACGATGGAGTGTGAGTCATTGTCTTGAGAATCATGAATCAGATTTGGCTGGTTTTTTACGATAAAACACAGTTTTAGTGAATTTAAATTGTGTTTTTGGGTATCGAGGTGGATTCTGTTTATTTAATAGAGCGCACGATTCTTATTTTTACTTTAAATAGCCAGAATTCGGTTCCCCAAAAATACTAAGCAGCCTGTGGGCATTCTAAACAGCGGCTCACTTCAAAACAGCCAATAAATTCGGGCTACCCGCGCTCGGCGGTGACCGTCCCCACGCCGTCATTCAGAATTCTGCATCGATCCGAATCGGGGGTGGCGGGACCGGATTGGCCGTGGTTTACGAGAAACTCTCTTTAATGCATGGATCCGGAGCGTTAAAATTAATATAAAAAAATCACAATTTTAAACCTAGCAAAAGCTTTATTATCGACTTAAATTCCGCATAAAAAATTTTTTGAAAAAAAGAAAAATTTAGATTCCTTGCGAAATCCTTACCAAACGTTTTCTGTTCAATTCAGTCTGTATCTTTTTCTTCGTTTTAAATTCCGACAACTTTGCATAGACGAGCAAACTAGCAGAAAACCCAAGGAAACCCGACTACATTGCTATTTCGGAACCATAACAACCGTAATCGTTGCCTCCAAATTGGCACAAATGAAACTATTATCCGGAAACGTTGCCGATACTGCCGAATTCGGCCATAAAAACATGCCCTTCCCCCTGGCCACCATATTCCCACGCAATTCCACGCCCGTGGCCCTGGAAAATCGGCGGAGCCGATGGCGGAGTTAGGGAAAAGAACCGAACTGTATGATTATGGTAACTGAAGGAAATTGACAGCAAACGAATTTGAAATTTTATTAGTAGAAATATATTTAATTTAATTTTCAGCTGTTGCCGACCCGTGCAAAGCAGCGCCGCGGAATCCGGGCACTGGCGATTATAAGGTGAGAGTTTGGTTGAAATTTGGTTTTATCGGAACAGTTTGATGCACTAGTTCAATTCAGACGCAAAATATCAACGTTATTTAGCTTTTAAAAACTATTTAAGTTAAATTTTCAATGCTTTGTGTTAGAAGAATAAAATTCATAGTGGTTTTTGGCAAAATTTGCTTTTGATTCTCACTTGTAAAGCATTTTTGTCGTAAGAATGCAATATTCAAGCACTATTTTTTTTGAACATCAGCAGTTTCATGAATTTTTCCAAATTTTTCTTGCTTGTAAAAGTACCATTTGCCTATAAAATTGACGAAATACAAATTTACAGACAACCCGCTGGGCATTCGATTCGACCGGCCGAAAATGCGTTCCATTTGAATACCGTGGAATGAAGGGCAACGCGAATAACTTTATTTCGCGCGAATCCTGCGAGACAAAGTGCCCGGGTTCGGCTTTATTTTATTAAATTTTACCGTATAAATTTTTAGTGTTTGTCAACCCATGCAAAGTTGGAGAGCCCTTCCAGAGTGGTGGGCGTTATCAGGTGCGGTAATTTGCATAATTCAAATAGAAATCGACGAAATAATAATATACGCCCCTGACAATATTTTCATTAATTCCATTCAGGTGTGCAACCCCGAATCCCAATGCCCCGCAAAGCACTATTGCCATATTGGAGAAAGCTCAAACTACTGCTGCCCGATGCTAGGTTTACCATAATTTACATATCCATTTTGTTAGCTACAATTTAACTCTATTTTTGTTTGCCGTGCGAGTTTTTTAAAGTGTGGTGTGACCCCGAAAATCAGATCCAAAGCGTTGAAAACCACAAAAAATTTTAAATATTACGTTTATTGAATTCTTTAGGAGGCGATCCTTGTGGTCAGCCGATGGACCGAGGCACTGGTGGTGCTCAGCTGCAGAGGTATATTTTATGCAACTTTTTGCGATTTTTCAGACAATAAAACAGTTACCTTTTTTTGAAGATTAAAGCTCAATTTGAATCCTCAGATGGTATTGGAACGTCAACCAGCAATGTTGTCTGCCGTTCTCGTACTGTGGCCAGAAGGGTACGCAGAACAACTTCCTCTCACGCACCGACTGCGAACGCACATGTTACGGTAGGTGGACCAGGGGTTTAATACACATAATTTTCGGATTTTCTAAAATGTTTTAAATGTTTTTTTAAGGTTTAATGGAGTAATTAGCAAAAGTCGTTGCGATTGGGGAATTGATTAATTTCTGACTTCCAGTTTTTCATGCCATGTTTTCATGTTTTATTTGCTGCCCATTTTATTGAACCTAAAACACCCGAAACTTTTTTTGACAATTTCCCCAATTCTCCCGCCTTTTATCAAACCATAAAATATCCCAAATATTCCCCACCTTTTCCCGTGCTCCCCCAAAAAGTAATTACTCTTTTTTACCAGCATTTCAACAATTTTTCCTTAGAATCAAAATTCTAAAATTTATCCCCCGATTCCCGAATTTCGAAGCAATCCCGATATAATTCTATTAACCCAGCCATCCCCTTTATAACTTTAGAATTGGACAATCCGTGTGCCGGCGGCGATCCGCTTCTCGGCCCCAACAATCGACCCCTCACCTGCCCAGCACCGGATTCGCCAACTTGCGGAAACGCCCATTGGTGCCATATTGGTGGGAGCCAGCAGACGACGGTGTGCTGCCCGCAAAGAGGTGTGTTTTCGGAGGGGCAAGCTAGCAGAGGTCTTCTAGGAAATTCTGGAATTTATGGGGCTAGCCAGAAGAGCCTTTAGGAAATCTAAGGAATAAGAAATCCAAGAATTACAATTCAGAAGAATGGCCAGTTTCTGAACACAGGAAAGCTAGCAGCGAATTTTTAGGAATTCGCGGAACTAGGTAGCCCGGAAGCTAGCAGAGAAGCTTTAGGAAAACATTATGAATCAGAGTAATCTACAATTTTAGAAATACGGTAATTCAAAAATAGGCAATCTAGCAGAGATTCTTTAGTCTATAGATATACGGCTGTCCGGAACCTGGGTAACTAGCAGAGATCCTTAGTGAATTTGCGCAAGGTAGCAGCGAAACTTTGGGTTGTCCCGTTTTTTCAATATGTTGGCGACATAGACGAGATTCTTGAGGATTGTTTTTTATACCAATAAGGCAAAATATCAATGATTCTCTAAAAAAAATCAACATATTTTATTCCATTCCTTTCCAGTGGACGGCGAAGAAATCTGCAACCTGCCCCTCGTTGAAGGCGATGGCGACTATTCCCTCGATCGCTTCTATTTCGATGTCCAAACCCGTCAATGCATTCCCTTCGTATACAAAGGACGACTGGGCAACCAGAACAATTTCCTCACCCAGGAGGCTTGCGAAAATCTGTGCCCAGGCAAGCCCCCAGACTCACATCGTTAAAACACCTCGATTAGCATTCCTCCATGCTTTTAGAAATTCAAAAAAATTAATACTAAAAGTTTGAATTCACGTTAAAATAACAAGAAAATTAATTATGAAATTAATACGATACTAAATAGAGTTTTAATTACTAAAATTACAGGCGTAACCATACATCGGTAAAAATTTTATTTAGCATTTTTCTACAAGTTTGGAATTTCCAAATGGCTACTATTAAAATTTGAATTTGCGCCAAAATAACAAAAAAATTAATTCTGAAATTAATAAGATACTAAATGGCGCTTTAATTACTAAAATTACAAGCCATCCCTAGACTCACAATCAGCATTTTTTGACAATTTTGGAATCTTCAAGAAATTACTACTAAAATTTCAAATCATGCTAAAAACAAATTAATGAAGCATTAATTCATGGTGTATTTTACAAAAAAAATAATACTTATTCTAATCATTTTAGTGTTCGTAAACGTATGTCCAGTGGGTCAGCCACTCCTCGACACCTCTCACCGTCCGATACCATGCACTTTCGGGTCGGACTCGTGCGGGGACCACCATTGGTGCCATCTAGGATTGGTTCCGGATGAATACCAATGCTGCCCAGGCACCCCAACAAACCCCGGCGCCTGCCAGGTGCCTTTAATAGACCTTTAATACGCCTTACAAGTACTGTATTTCCTTTATTAAGGAAATACGGTAGTACGGTCTTGTTTTTAAACCCTAGCCTAACCCTAATCCTTCAGGGCGGACCATTCGTCATTGGAAATGTCTCGGACCGTGCCCCACCTGCCCTTAGATGGTATTACGACAAAGACGAAATGTCGTGCCTTACATCCACTTACAATGGCCGACAGGGTTCTCAAAATAACTTCTTAACCAAGGAGGACTGCGAGGCCACCTGTGACGGTAGCTTACTATCATTTAATTCTCTAAAGGTCGTGAATTTTAATTTTAACGCTGAAATACGTAACAAGGAAACCATTTAATGTTACTTATCAACAACGTCTTAAAACGCGACTAAACTGTGAATTTAACATCACGATTAACATAAAATTTCGAATAAGCAGATTTTAACAATTTTAAAGTCATTTGAGGTTGTTGTTTAATTTATATATGCAAATTCCAAATCAGCAAATTACGGTTTGTATTAGGAGCTGGCGAGAAATTGACAAAAAAAATGAGTTGTTTCACTACTGTAAAAGTATTTAGGTTTTTTTCAGGGTCTGAAATTTGGGAACTCGCGTTTTAACTTATAAAAATTAGCATCCTTTCATTTTTTTTAGTATTCGAAAGCCCATGTGCCCTACCACTGCCAACCCTCCCAGCCACCATGTGCCAATCCGATAACATGTGCGGATCATCGATGTACTGCCACATCGGGCTCACCCAAGATACCTCGGTCTGCTGCCCGGCTGGTAGGTTTAGAAAAATTATACTAAACTATTAAAAAATGAAACGATTTGAATTCATTAAACGAAAATTCAGAAGGCGATCCCTGCAGCCTGCCGCTCAGCCAGGGACAGGGCAATGGTAATGCTCAGAGGTGGTACTACGACCCGTCCAGCTACACCTGCCAGCCGTTCCAATACCGTGGAACTAAGGGAAACCAGAACAACTTTTTGTCGCGAGATGTGAGTGATTATAACTAAATTTGGTTTTTATAGTCCATTGAAACCAATCTTATAGTCTTTATTACATTATCCTCTTCATAGATAACTTTTTTAGGCTTGCGAGGAGCGTTGTGGCCCGAATCCTTGCTTCGAGGGTCGTCCATTCCAGGTAGGGCTTCAGCCATTCTTAAATTTAGTGTAAATGTGTATCTATATTTAGTCCATAATTAAGTTATCTGAAGCATTTATCGATAATTTGATTTTTAGGGAGTCGACGGCAAAACCCAAACGTGCACGGCTTCCGCTTCAATCAACACTTGCCCGGCAAGCTATTGGTGCCATGTTGGAGCCGATATGAGCTTGACTGTCTGCTGCCCAGGAGGTAGTTTTAACTTATTAGCGTAATTACTGTATTAGCAATATATTTAATATTCAATTTATTTATATTTTTTAGCTTCCACCAATGTCTGCAACCTGCCAATGTCCACCGGTGAGGGCAACTACAACCTGGATAGGTATGGAAATTTTGTTTTCAAGTTGTGTAGCTTAATTTAAATTTTGGGTTTTAATTAATTTAATTGTGTATGGTAATTAAATCGAGTCAAAAAGTATAAATTAGCAATTTTAGGTATTACTACGACTCCCAGGCCCGAACATGCCGCCCCTTCAAATACAACGGACTCAAGGGAAATCAGAACAACTTCTTGACTCTGGTGAGTCGGAAAATTAGCATAATCTCAGCTAAGGAATTTAATGAATGGTAATTTGTCTAAAATAGCATAAATGGTTGAAACATTAAATATGTGAATTCTCCAGCGAGCTTGCCAACTCTCGTGCCAGCCACTTGACAACCCGTGCATTGGCCAGCCTGCCGTCACCGCTGCTGGTCAGGTCATCTTCTGCTCGGCCACCAACAAGGTATATAATTTTAATATCTATATAGGTTTATTGATGTAAGAATATTTTTATTAACAAAATTCATACGAATTGACCTCAATATGCAAAGTAAAATTTCTAGGACGCTTGCCCGGTCAACTTCTGGTGCCACATCGGTGCTACACCGGAAACGACGGTCTGCTGCCCAGGAGGTTTAACAAAATTTTCATATTACTTTTATGGCTTAATCATCACAGCATCTACTTTCTAAAAATAATAGACTACACAACCAATATGCAAATTTAGCCACCAACGCCTGCTCAGTGCCGCTAGCCCCTGGAACTGGTATTTCCGGCCTGCCCAGGTAAGTTTAGGATCAATACCTAGTGATGGGCGACATTAAAGTACAATTTACACCCGTACCTCTTAGATATTACTACAACCCCGATGACCGCCAATGCGAGCCATTCACCTACAACGGAAAACGCGGAAACCAGAACAACTTCCTATCCCAAGCCGAATGCGAGAGGACATGTCCAGGCAAGCCAGCGGGTTACGGTAGCCCACTAAAGCGGGCCGAGTACAGTTATCTCGCAGTTGAGAGCGTTTTTTAGCATTTAGAATTCACTAACTGCATGCCTGAGAGTTGTACTTTGTACTTGCTATTTACAAGTAAAAAGTTCAAACCCTTTAAACCCTTCCCACCCTCTCCTCTATCCACCCTCCCCTCCCCTGTTTCCTAAAACGCACCCCCGCACAGTATTCGCGGACCCGTGCGAGGGGCAAGCGCTACGAAAGTCCGACGATGGACCGCCGCTATTCTGCGATCCGATGCTCCCGCCGCATTCACCTTCGTGCCCAAGGGCTTACTTCTGTCTCCCCGGCGATCCGGAAGTGAACAGATCGTCTGTGTGCTGCCCTTCGAAATACGGTAGGTGCTTTAGGTCTAAATTATAAAATATACATGAATAATAATTATATCAATCTCAATAATTTCAGTATTAAATATAAATTATTTGCATATTGATTTTCGAAAATAGGTCTGAAAATGTAATTCTCAAATTTTTGCTTGTCGAAAAACTGTCGAAATTGTGCTTTTTGAACAAAAAGAAAAGCCTGTAACGTCAATTTTATCAATTATTTTTAGCCGATCCCTGTGAAGCTCCATTAAACGAAGGCGAAGGCCAACAATCCCTGGCTCGATTCTACTACTCCTCCTCGGAGGGCGGGTGCTTTCCGTTTGCGTACAGAGGACAGCGGGGGAATGAGAACAACTTCCTGTCGCGCCAGATTTGTGAGGAGCACTGCGCCCCAGGTACTGTAGACTTTTTTAACAAAATATGTAATTTTTAGTGGGAAATGTCTGCTTTGGTGGTGAGCCTCCACTCATCCAAGATGGCCGTATCATCCAGTGCGTCTCGTCATGTCCAATAGGATATTATTGCCACAGAGGAGCGAATCCAAAAACTACCGTGTGTTGTAAGAGCCAAGGTAAGTAAAGTACGATAAGTAGTCGGACTACGATAAACTCCTCAGGATACTCCTGTGATGAGCAGCTAATGCCCGGCGCCGGCGAAGCCACACTCCCACGATTCTTCTACGACCACGTGGCCGACGACTGCGTTCCGTTCAACTATACAGGGATTGGAGGGAATGAGAATAATTTCATGACGAAGAGCCAGTGCCAGATCGCGTGCCCAGGTGAGGTTAACTGGTTTTATGCCAATGCATACCAATTTTTGTAGGTCTTCGTGGCTATTGCCCACACGGCCGGCCGCATGCTTCACCGTTGGGGTCAGCTTCACCCTTGGAGCGTAGCAATCATGTCGTTACGTCCTGCGGGGTAGATATCAGCTGCCCTGCTGCTCACATTTGTCATGTGACGAGGAGGACCGGGAAATCGGTGTGCTGTCCTGATCCAGGTAATCCATTTTTGGAGGTTTTTTTGGTACTGGACTTTTAGCAAGGGGGAAGATAATTTTTCCATCGAGACCTACCTTTTGATAATTTATACTGTTTCTTAGAACGTTTTTCTTAATTTTTGATTGCTAAAAAGCCACAAAAGTTTTTTAAACATTTTTGAATTGACCGTTTTGGACAATTTTTTGACCAAAACATCATGGATTCCTGTGTAAAATTTCTTTACCTAACTTACGAAAATACATTTATTAATTATTTCATATTGTACAATGTATAAATCCCCGTTAAACCGAATATTTCCAGCATCATTCTGCATCCAGCCCCTCGAACCCGGGCGATGCTTCCAAAACACTACTCGCTACGCATACGATCGGCACACGGGCACGTGTACAAAGTTCAGGTAAGTATCGATTTTGTAAAACTGAAATTTCATTGAAATTTAATGCAGTATAATTTATGTTTGACCATTTTCAGCTACACCGGCTGTGGCGGGAACCTGAACAATTTCGGCTCGTTGGAGAGCTGCACCGAGATTTGCTGTGATAAGGGCTATAAGGATGCACTGGCACCGTTTTACCGGCTGGCACGCATATTTTTTTGAAGTGATAGAGGGAGAGAGAAAGAGAGCGAGAAAAAGAGATAGAGAGAGTGCGCTGCCCTTTTGTGTCATTTGATGGGGGTTGGGAGGCGAGGAATTTGAAGAATTTCCGGACAGCCTATGACTTCCCAACTCCCTTTAATACCGGTGTTTTTTAATTCAGTTTGCCATGCAGTATTCCCTATGCAAACTCATCCCCTGATACGAGTGTTGTTTTGTCTTTCTCCGTACTATTTTGACCAATGAATATTGCTTACCCTTAAAAGTCGACGAACTCGGGCATTTTCACCCCCCTAAAAATCGCATCTGCAGAGAGCGATTGCCCTGGTGAGTTCGAAAATTTTGAGGAGGTTGGTGGTAGTTTTTTGTAAAAAATTTTTATGCTTTTGTGAGGCTAGGCTTAGGTTTAGGCTTAAGCTCAGGGTTAGGTTTAAGATTAGGCTTAAGCTTAGCTTAGACTTAGGCTTAGGCTTAGGCCTAGGATTACTTAGGCTTGGATTGGGTTTAGGCTTAGACTTATGCTTAGACTTAAGCTTAGACTTTGAAGCCATCTTGATCCTACAAACTTTTCTGCCACCAACCCCCCTCTTGCATGCCACACCTCGTCACTTCTTCCACTACACTCCTCCTGCACGCGCTTCAACGGCTTGGTGGCCCCCAAATTATTTTGTTGCTGCTCGACGCTTTGCACTTACATAACAATTTAATGCGAAAAAAAAACCGCTCAAATGTGAGATTTCCGTAACCGGCGCCGAGTCTCCAAGGAATGGCCGAATGAGAGAGAAAGACTGGGGCACCAGAGCTAAAGTGTATTTTTGTGTTTTTAGAGGAGCTGTGCTTGCTGTCGATCGACCGGGGAGCATGTTCGAATCGTGTATCGCGATATGCTTTTGATAGACAAACGGTTAGTTGGAAATAATTGTTTTAAACACGCCGTTACAGGCTATAAACTATAAACTACAAAACTTAAATTCTAAATCTAGAGTAATCTAGTTTTCATGCTAATTGTTTGTATAAATTCAAAAATTAGGCAAGACCCCATGAAACATGTATGCTTTTTCAAATTTTGTGGTCTTTACAACTATAAACTACAAGATTTTGCGAAATTCCGTTCGGCGCCAAACTACATGATTACAAAAAAAATCAAGAACTACAGAACTTCTGAAAAAAAATTAAAACATCATCCGCTGGTTTCCACTTTAACGTACTGTAATACACAAAATAACCATTTAAAATTCAAATACTAATAAAATAAATAAACTAAACGTACTTAAATTTTAGAATCAATGCATCGCCTTCGAATACACGGGCTGCGGCGGAAATTTGAACAATTTCGCCTCGTACGAAGACTGCGAGGCCACCTGCGCCAAGGTATCCTTTTTTAATATGACCTTTGATATCATTTTTAATTAAATTTATATCTATTAAAATAGTATAAATAATATAAAAACCTTTTCCAGGTCCGCTTCCGCCGATAAACCCTTCGCGACCCTTCGCCCTGCCCCCAAATGCTCAATATATTGCCTCCCGGTGGAACAAAAAAAAACAAAAAGCGAAAACCCTATATACCCCCTAATCTATTACCGTACCCCCACTGTCTTTCAAATTATTCATTTTTAAATGCCGTATTTACCGTACCCAATTTTTGTAATTTCCAAACACCCCCCGATAGCGCGACCAATAATTTATATGCCAACCCTCCTGTCTGTACATTTGCCCTAAAATATGTCACCAAGCTCGAATCTTTTTATCTTTTTTAATTCTCTAATTTTTTGCTTGTCATCAACCGGTACCGGGACACTATACTGCTATGTTAATTTTTGTAAATTCTTTATCGTACCCCCCTGATAATTACTTAACGTGTCAGAGCTTCCGCTGCAATATTCTAGTCCTCGGCAAAGCAATAAAACATCAATTAAACCCCCAATTATAAGATCGATTGGTTAGTCGCCTAATTATTCGTGCCCCCCCGCCCCCCATGTATCCCCCCTTTAAAACAGAAAAGACATATCGCCTCATTTGTAGGAATTTTTCCTCGCTCGGAATTTTTGCTGCGAATAAAGAAGATTATAAAGGAACGGTTTGAAATGCACCTGGATTTTTGTGATTGTAGAATGGACAGAGGAGCGTCCCGTTTCTCATACGCTAAACGGTTTTATTACGCCATAAAATTGATAAGGAATACGGTAGAATAGGTCTCGGCGACCAGAAACAAAAAATAACATAATTTTGGTACTGAATTGTTAGCAGGGGGAAACAAATTTTTGTTATTTTCGTCTATACCTATACATCTGTTAATAATAAATAGCGTTTTTCTAATGTGTTGAATAGTTTTTATCGATAAAAGCTTACAAAAAAAAACGTTTTTTAAATTTTTGCAAATTCGAAAATATGAACTGTTGTACTGACGGACCGAACAGTAATCGTGAACATCTTTCAAAATGTAGTTCCTACGCTACTCAGCGATTCCTAAAAAACTCCAATGTTTTTAGAAAATACCCCCTCGCACCCGGGGCCGATAAGGAGCCTATTGTGTTGGCTTGCAATGACCGGGTGTGCTTAATCAAGGCTTCACCGATTGCCCCCCAGCCTCGAATCACTGAAACTAAAGCCGATTCCCATCTTTGAAAACCGGAAAAACCACCTACAATATGCTATCGTGCCTCAATTCATGCTACGCGGAGCCTGAGGAGAAGGTGGAGAAGGTCAAGCATGTCAGGATTCAAGGTAATGGCCTAAAAAGCTTTTTTTTTCTATAATTTTAGGGGTTTGTCAAAGTGGATTCGGATTCAGCAAAAAATTGCCAAGGTCCAGAACCCGCTCTTAAGCTTATTAAAAATACCTTCCCGTAATATCCGGGTAATGAAATTAACCAAGCGGCACTCCCCTTTAAAGTCATCCCTTTATCAGGGGTGATGTGCCCTTTTTGCATAATTCTGACCGGAGCCGACTGACTGACAATCGGGCCAAGGTGTCAGGCTCGCGTGGCTATAATTCGGTGCCGGTGATGGGCCCAGCCATCACTGCCTCTTCTCCTCTCTCTATCAGTTGCCAGAAAACCCTTATCGCCCAGGTCCAGCCAGTCGGCTCCATCGACTGAAAAGCTTCGACCGAAAATCCGCCATCTTTTTCTTGTTTTTGCTCATCGACTGGCTACACAAGCTACTGAATGATATCATAATTTTCATAATTTTCATAATAAGATTGTTTCCAACTTCTCGAGCTCACAAAGTTGTGATATTTCAGTGATGGCTCCAGCTCCAGAGGTCTCAGTGCGCATTGTCACTAGTGATGACAAAAAGACGACTGTAAGTTTAAGGGGTACTAGACTCTTAGCGGGGCGGGGGCTTTTCCCCCAGTAATCCTGTACGGTCTTGTAACGCAATATAAGCAGATTTTATAAAATTTTCACAAATTTTCCACGTTTTTGGGCACAAAATTTGTATGAAAATGACCAAAAAACTTCAATTTTCGAATGCTCAAAAAATCTCAAAAAAATTTTTTAACTTTCTTGCAATCGAAAACTACTATACGATTATAAAAAACCATTATTTATTATTAACAGGTAAGTCTACGAGGCAAAACACTGGTTAATTCCCCCCTGCTGTCAGTCCAGTACCGTTGAATTTCTAGTTTTGAAGCAAATGAAATTTCTTTGAAACATCTTCATTGCAACGTTTTTCAAGTCTAAAACTTAAGCTTCAAAACCGCATCACAGCTATCCTAACTCCGAAATCACTGCCCTCCTCTGACTCATCATTCCCAAATTCATTAAATTAAAAAAGATATTGCGGTGATATCATTTTATTGACAGCCGCCGAACGAAATTTGGTCACTGATAAAGCTCAACGTAATAAAAGCGAAAACCAATAAAGTCTACATCTAAAGCTAAGTTGTAAGACAAACCTTTATTTTAGGTCTTTGCCATCAATGTCAACTCGGGTCCCTCCATGCAAAAGCGTTTCGCAGACTTCGAACGACTGTATGAAAAGGTATCCAAAAGAACCGACCATCAGAATTTGATAAATAGACGAAAGATAGCCTCGGAATGCTTGGCACGCCCCCCAAAAAGAAGCTCTCCCTCTTCCATTCTGACACAAAGCTCAATGAGAAGCGAAAGCAATGGATCACCGCTTTTACGCAGTCGCTGCTCACCGGGTCATCGGCAAATCGGTTTGCATTGATCGCATCCATCTGCATGTTTGCTTAGAGAAGATGTGAAAGAGTTCTTCTCGCTGGCCCAAGTATTTGACACTGATGAGGAGCACATAAATTTGGGCTCGACCGAAAGCAAGAGGTCTGATTCAGGGAAATAGCGCTCAAAATTTCATAGGACAAGCCCGCAGGACTTTCAGTATCTACGAGAAGTCGGCAAGGGCAGTTTCGGCCGGGTTTGGTCTCCAAAAAACCATCGATAATCGAGACCGTTTAGGTGTTTGTGGTCCGGCACAAGGTTGATAACAAAATCTATGCGATGAAGGTAATCACAGGCTTTTTCAGCTTTTACACTCCCTTAGGTTCTATCAAAAGAACAAATTCGGCGTAAGAACGAGGTGAAACATGTAATGGCTGAGCGGAACGTCTTGAAAGTATGCCCCATCAACTACCTCTTTTTAAAAGTTCCTAAGGAAAATATTCACCATCCATTCCTTGTGGCTCTCCGCTACAGCTTCCAGAACAAGGACAAGCTCTATTTCGTGTTGGATTACCTAAATGGTGGAGAGGTTTGGATAATATATTCTCTAAAACTACATTGTTTCATCCAGCTCTTCTCCCATTTACAACGCGAAAAACACTTCAGCGAAAGTCGGTCAAGATTTTACGCAGCAAACATCGCATCGGCTCTGGGGTATCTGCATGAGAATGACATCATCTATCGGTACATAAACTCCGTCTTTTATCTAGTTTTAGCGACCTTAAACCGGAAAATCTGCTTTTGGACAAATTCGGCTACGTCGTGCTGACGGATTTTGGATTATGCAAGGAGGGAATCAAAAGCAAGGACACGACCGCGACATTTTGTGGAACCCCAGAGTAAGAGATAACAATTCGATCCCACTTCTTCATATTAAGGTACTTGGCACCGGAGATTATACAGAAGAAACCATACGACCGGACGGTGGATTGGTGGTGCCTTGGTGCAGTGCTATTCGAGATGCTCTACGGACTTGTGAGGCGCAACGAAAGCAAATAAACCCATATTTTAGCCCCCATTCTACAGCAAAAACCACTCTGAAATGTACGAAAGGATCGTCAGTCAACCGCTGCGAATGAAAACATCGATATCTCCGGCCAGTTCGGATATCATCACCAAGGTATGCTAAAATCATCTTCATTACCGCGAATCCCAATACTTAGCTTCTGCAAAAGGATCGTAAACACCGTCTAGGCGCCGTAAACGACTTCAAGGAAATCCGAGGTTACGCAGCACTAACGCTGTTACAAAACGATTCCAGATCATCCTTTCTTTTTGCCGATTGAATGGGATAAGCTGCTCGCTAGAGAAGTGCGGGCGCCATTCGTTCCGAGGGTGAAGGCAAGTGCTTGCGAAACTGAGGCCAAAGCAACATTTTAGAGCGACAGTGATTGGGCCAACTTCGCACCTGAATTCACTCAACAACCCTTCAATGTCGGTTCACTGGCGCCACAGAGTCACGGGCAACCCCACCTCGATCGCGATTTCGTTGACTTCACCTATGTGCAGCCGAGGATGACGCGAGAGAGCATGGAAGAATAATGGCCCAATCGGTCTCCAATGTAAACGAAAAAGAAATTTATTCGAGGTGTTATCACAGAGCGAAAATATCATCACATATAAGTTGTTAAAAACGACAAAAAACACCCGTAACCCGTAGAGAACAAATAAAATCTTATTATTAAAGGGCAGTATAGTACTTCAATGACGTCATCTCGTTCACGGCCACCGCAAACCCGACGAATCCCAGGCCGAACGTAATCCAGAGTGCGCATCTTTGGTAGGGGCTCTTGAAGTAACCTAAATCAGTATGGTAAACACAGCCAAAGAATATTACGAATTTCGTGGAGCTGCGGCAGCCCAAAGCCGTTGCACATCGAGTGGGTTACCATCGGAGCGATGATGTTGCCTGAATTGGGATTAACGCAAAAATGAATTGCTCACCCGTGCGCAAGAACAAGAAGGTGGCGTAGGCGCCAAAGATGTACGTATACGCCCCTTGGAACGCTGAATAAAAAAAATCAATAACAGACGAATACGTGTAATACCTCTGCCAACCACCGCATCCCTGAGTGTGGCGCCCTTCTTCGTGTCATCGTCGATGTGGTGCATGTGAGAAAGTGCGAAAGACAACGGGGCTAAATCAGCTTGAAGAAGTGTAGCTTCAAATTACCAATAAAGATGGTTTGGGCCGGCGATAGACAGGTCGCCATCAGTGCCGCGGCGCAACCCCGAAATGCGATCTCTTCAGTGACCGGAGCCTAAAGAAAACCTCTTTACAATTTCCGAACAAACCACAACAATATCGCGCCACCAGGTCCACTGTCGGAAGGAGGCACCCCACGAAGACAATCCTAAATGGGAAAGTCGCAGCCGGTCACACAAACTTACTGAAATAATCGACCAACTCCTTCTCGTAGTACATCAAGAGGATCTGTCCCGCATAGAGTGTAAGTGTCAAGCCGGCCGGAACCACGATCGACGCCAGATTCCCCTAAAGAAAGTTTCAAAGTTACAAAGTGGCTTGTTACCGTGGATTTAAATCCCATTAGAGAAAGCGGCGTTGAAGAGCTGAATGAGAGCACGTAGTAAGTCAATCCAATTGAAACAGCATTATTGATAGCGGCGGCCAAAAATCTGGAGAGAAAAGACAATCATATAATACAAAATGATAAATACCTTTTCTTCAGCGACGCTGGTTCGTTCTTGTCTTTACTGTTGTGATCGAAGATGTGCAGCAGTAGCACGTACGAGAGTGGAATTCCCGCGGAGAGAGGCAGGGAAAGCTTGCAACCCATGGCCCTGAAAATCAACATCAGTCAAGCTCGAACAGAAAATTATGGAAGTGCTGAGTAATGATCAGTTACCCTATAAGAGACATGGTGGAATTTAGATCTACCATTGGTTCCAGTCGTTATAACATTGTCGGTGGGCTATGAAAAAATTAGAATAGGAGCTATAATCTAGAAATACTAAACTAGAATAGGAATAATAGAAACGAATATTTTAGAAAAATATTTTAAAAATGATAATTTTGTGTGCTCATGATTTTTGAAGGAACCGGCTACGCAGCGCTCCTTTGCCCAATAATCGTCTGTCCTCTCAACCCCCGACACACCCCGCGTCCGCCTCCCCGTCAACGGGCAACACAGTCATCTATACGTAACTTTATCAACATCATAAATTTTATAATATTAAATAACTTTAACGTATATTTGATCGGGCGATCATTATTAAAGCCACTACCTTGATCTCGCCGCCCAAATTTATCCCCAAATTGACGCATTTTTGTACCCCCTACCTTCTTTCCGGCGTCTCGAATCGCCCAATCCATTTTCGACCAAATCGTCTCCATTTTTGTGTGCCCAACAAATTTTCAGAACATTTTTCTCGACCTGGCCGTAGCTACTGACGGCAACGCGAAGACAAGGAAATTAAAATTTTTTGTGACACAATAAATCTATTGCAAGAAACCACGCGCACAGGAACGACGATCTTAAAAACGCGAAATAAGTCTGGGAAGAAAGAGGTCGCTACGCGATCGATCGAACAATATTGCTACTTGCCAACAGCTGGCGTTTATTCCCTCGGGAAATCCAAAAATTTGATAGCGCGGCCTGTATTGCCAGTTTTGGTTGACCTGACGCATCTTGGCGGGGGAACCGCGCGCGAGAAATAGCGTTGAGAATGTTTTTACTGTTGATTTCTGTTCTTCCCTCACCGCGCGCCCTGCTTCTTTTTTAAATAGTATGACTTTACAGGCTTCAGCGGCGAGCAAGGATGGCTGAAGAATTTCGGTAAATTTGTATCCATTTTGTGCAAAAGTCATTTTAGGACTGTGCTCGGTGAGCTGCGTGACAACAACCGGATGCGCATCAATTTACTTACGATGCTAGCGGAAGAGAACCAATCTGAAGCTGCCGCCATAGTTCAAATCATACGCGATCGGATTGAGACGGTAATTTTCTGGCATAATTTTGTTTTAAGATAGGCAATTGTATTGGGAATCTATGCATTTCTTAGGTCCGTTCTGAACAACGCTTGCCGATCCTCTACGTCATTGACTGCATCCTGAAGAACATTGAGTCGTCAAACTTTCAGCAACACTTCCCGAAGATAATAGTCGAGGTTTTTTGCACAACCTTTGTCGGGGTATGATGATTACTGTGAATAATTTATGATCTGATTTAGGCAAATGAGCATGTACGGACCGGGCTTTTCAACCTTCGACGCACCTGGGGCGACTTTTTTGAAAAAGACAAATTGTACGAGCTTGATATGAAAGTGAAAGAGGTATCATTGATAAAACCACTAACACGAATTGAATTTTAGCTTGATCCGGCTTGGCCTTTTCCGCTGTCGCAAGCGCAACCACAAGCTACTCAACCATCAGCCGCGCCAGCGGGCAACCGTGACAAGACACGAGCCGATAGAGCTGGTACGAGCCAACGTTTGTTCACTGATTACTCTAATATATTTATTATTTTAGAACCACCAGCCGCACCAAAGGTACAAAAGAAGCCTGAACCGGTCAAGCCTCGGCCACCGCCTTCCATGCAAGCTCCCGTAAGCCATACGCAGCTCGTTATCATTATATATTTTTTTAGAAAAAATCAATTTTGAAACAGCCGAAGCCTGAGCCAGTAGATGAAGACTACGATCGCTTCGATGGGTGAGTTAATGCATTAATTTTGAATTAAATATATAATAGATCGAGTGCAACGAAGCGTTCGTTGGATGAATCCGCTCAGAACGACCCTCGGCAGCAAGCCAGCGCCGGCGAACTTGGACCCCGTGCTCCAAAACGGCCATTTAGCCAGAGCACCGCGCCCCGGTACCCAACACCTCCGATGGGTGGAATGCTGCCCCCGACCAACATTCCGGGTGCACATGCTTTTGTGAATCCGATGGCAATGATCGCACCGCTACAGCAGCAATTTAACACTGTAAGTTTCCCTTTATTTCATGTAAAACCTTGCCAGTAAACGGGAGGGTCTGTAGATATTTTGTTTGATGAACGCAGAAAAAGTGGTTTTTGAGAGTGACGTTATGTATTAAAAGAAAGATTCCATTAAATGATTTTTACAGGGTCCTCCCGTTGCTGTCATCAGCCCCTGGGCCCAGCCACCCCGACGAGACGGCCCACCATTCCATCCACAGGGCCCGCCAGCATTTCAACACGGTCCGAGGAATATGCCGCCGTGGGGACCAGGACCAGGACCAGCTCCATTTCCCGGCCCTAACAACATGCCGTTCCCGCCTCGCCATGATCCGTCCTTCCGTCATGACGGTCCACCGCAACAAGGCCCTCCGTTTCTACCGCCAAACCAAGTCCATCTTTACCCGCCTCGAGGCCACTCTCCGGTTCCATTCCTTCCGCCAGGACGCAATCACTCTCCGGGCCCATTCCTTCCGCCAGGGCATAACCACTCTCCCGTTCCGTTCCTTCCGCCGGGGCGTAACCACTCTCCTGTTCCATTTCTTCCGGAAGGGCGGCAGCACTCTCCGTTGGGCCCTACTGCCCCATATCCGCAGCGCACCAATTCGCCTCATCTTCACAATCTACCGCTGGGAGAGCCGCAAGACGTGAAGCCATTCCTTGGACCGGTGGCGCACCACGAAGGCGTACATGGTCATCTTCAGGATGTGAAGCCATCCCCGATACAACACCAGGCATTCGCTCCGAACGACCCCCGTGCTCCCCAGGTAACAGCAATGCTTAGGCGCTGACTGTGCTTTTGGAAGCATCTGCACCGTCGCCACATTATATTCTGATTTCCAGATACACCAATGGCCAAAGTCCAACAGCCCGTCATCTACCTCGCCAGCGCAGATCGTCCTCGAGGAAATCAAATTCGAAGGTGTCCCGGAGAATAACCGTATTTTCTTCGACGGGAAGGCCTACGAGGTATGACGATTTTGCTCAATCTTAATGGGCTTTTTAGGTTGAATACATCGACATGACGCCAATAATTGAGAGAAATGGCTGGCCGCATCGTGTGTACTTTGGAGGTGGATCGAGGAATGTAATTATTGATGGTCAGATGTATCATCTTGCTTTTGGCGAGTCCAAGGTGAGCTTTCCAATTGTCTTTTTGACATAGAAATTTTGCAGAAAGTCCTCATCGACGGTGACGAGCATACCATCCGCTTTGGTGGTCCATCCAAGGAACTCTTTATGGGTGACTATGCCTTCAAGGTACATTTAAGACATTGTTTATGGATTATCTCGAATTTTTAGGGAACCTTTGGCGGACCTCCGATCTTTGCTACCATTAACGGCGTTCGACACGAGATCCGTCTTGGCGGTCCCGCACCCGAGGTTGGTACGAAAATGGTATCATAATATCTTTATTAGGTAAAAGTCGAGCCCACTCCTGCATACGAGCTGGCCCGGCACTTGAACTTTGCTCGAAAGCCGGCCCCGGCGCCGCCTGTAGCTGCACCTCAGCCAGAAGGGACCCATATGACGGGGGATGGAAGTACGTTTTTTTTTGGTTTCTTGACAAATTGACAAAAAAAAATACCGAATTACATACTCGCAACAACCAGAATTGTTCTTTTCAGAAATTCACCTGAGCGACTACCTGAAGTACATCTTGCGGACGTGCAAGCAACAGCAACCATCACAGCCGGTTCTTGACGAGTCGCAGATGCCAATCCCGACTGGTCCGGTCCGCAGACCTCATCCACCAAACCTGAAGAGTTTCAACGTGCACAATTTCAAAATGTAAGTTTTTTTAATGATAAAGGTTTATTTGCCGATTTTCGTTACGCGGATCTTCACTGTGTCGAAATGTAATTCAGCATTTTGACAATTCGAAATCAACCAATAACTAATATTTTAGTTGCTACGACTCGGTGATTGCCGACCTTCACGATAAAGCCAACTGCTGCCCAAAGTGCGGAATCAAGAAGGATATCTTCTTTGGCGATGGGTAAGAAACATCTTTTTATCTTCAACATTCTCTTCAGTTTCAACCGACATATCGAGTCGCATGTCAGGGAGAACCTTCAGAGGGAGGGGAAGAAGTCTGTGATCAAGCAGCGCGCCTGGTATATGGGCAAAGACGTATGTTTGAGTTTCGGTGAGCAATCATACTCGATTTAGGCCTGGGTTCACGACCCTGGCTATGATGAGCAGGAGACCGAGAAAGAGGCTGAAAAAGATGCAGAGAAAGAGCCGGCTAAAAAAGGATATGGTAAGTGATTACGATTATGGTAATTGTTGATTTTTTTACTTTAGTTCCCGTCATATTAGCTGCTGGCGACACCGGCAAGAAGGAATGCTTTGCTTGCCGCGACAGCTTCAAGCGGGTGTTTGACGATGAGGAGGAAGTCTGGATGCTCAAGGATTGTGTGATTTCGCAAGGACGCGTCAGTTTTTATAAGTTTGAAATCAGTAGCGTGTTTCCTCTGATATAAATTCCTTTCTTATTTGGCATCTAAAACGGTTTACTTTCAGTACTTCCACGAAAGCTGCGTTTACGAGGTGCAGGAAGCGAAGGTCATCACGCTGGATACCACAATCGAGAGCGAGATGGATACCCTCAACACCACATCTGGTACAGATGATATGGATGATGCCGACATCAAGGACGCTGACAATGCTCAAGAACCCGGCTCCTCGTCCCAGTAAATTACCTTTGTTAATCCTGACGCCAATTCCCTTGATCTCAACCTCTAGCCCCGTTTTGGTTTTTTTTAATTACTTGACCGCCTTTTAAAGGGATGCCGACGGCATAGTCAATCGGTTACGCGCGGAAAACAAAATGTCTCTGCGCCTCTCCCCTGGGCGCGTTCTCTCCCCTGTTGGCTACTTGCCAATTTGTTGATGAGGGGGGGATCGACACATGCCGTCCGCAGCCCTTTAAGGTTTATTCATAATGCATTAAATCGTTCGCCCCGGGCTAGATACTTTATGCGGGTGTTATATAGTTGTGATGCAATTTTTCTACCAGCCCAACCGTTTCCCCATCCCCGGTTATCTCAAGTTTATTGCATTCATGTTTAGTTTACGACTAGTCTTTTTGTTTGGTACTTAAATAAAGGGAAAATATGCATATTGTTGTTCCGCACACAATTAAATAGAAATACACCTAAAACTACTCCGATACATACCAATAACGTCGTAGCTTGCTGGCGAGTTAGTAGTTTTTGAAGTTACAACAGCAGAATTTTTGATCGTGATAATTTTGGTCGAAAATTGACCACTTGCTTTTTGTATTTTATTTGAAAATGATAACGCTTTTACGTTTAGGAATAGTAAAGACAACTTAGAGACGCTTCCTCTATTTATAATACAAAAATTAGGTCACTGTAAACTGGTTTCTCCCCACAATGCGCGGTTTTATTTTTAGTATATTGTTGTGCCGCAACGTCATCTTTCAACTACGCGAAACGATTTTATTATACACAACGAATCAGCGTAAAACCCAAATTCAAGTGACCCGGTCAAGACAAATATGTATACAGATTCAATACACTCGGGACGTGGGCATAGAAAGATATATCTGAAAAACAAGGAGAATCAAGGAAAGAGCCAATACACGTATTCAGGCGGGGAAATCACTGGACTGATAAATGATTAGAATGAGAAAAAAAGTATGTACATACACATGTAAGCGGTGAGGGGTGAACTCAAAAAAATATAGTATTAGCCGGCTGGAAGTTGGCGGAACCATCCATCCACCGTGGACATCGCAACCTCGTTGGCTCGACACACGTTTTCGCAATCTTTCCTACAGAAATAAAATCATAAAATTAGCAAAAGGGTGATATGCAAGTCCCGAAAGTGACAGTTGTAATTACAGTAGCTTCCCTGGGCAACCAAAAAAGTGCGGCTATGCCAACGTGGGGTGAATCGTTGCCTAGGAAATGGAGAGGCTGTCCAAAAAGGCACCCGTCTAAAAGCCTAGTGGAAAAACCTTGTTTTGAAGGTTTAGGTATAAATCGAAAGCTCTACAAACGGCTAGACATTTTTTTCTAGAGTAGCGCGCTTAATTCTGAGGGTTTTCAGACCGAAAATCTCGAAAAAGGCTAGTTTTTCTGTGGTTTTAACGCTTTCTCGCCGTTTCGAGAGCTTTCGAATGGCATAATATACCTCAGGGTACCTATTAAAACCCGTTAAAACCTGGGGTTAGTGACCGGCCGCCCAAAGCGAAAGAAGTGAAAGAAGTAGAGCTCTATTCCAAGACAAGCCGCCAAATGCGTGTGAACAAAAAGTGAGACTTGAAAAAGGACAGGCCGTGGCCGCGAGTTTTCTGCCGCATAATACGTGGATGGTCGGGACGGGCTTGCATACCACCCGCTACAGAAGCCAGCTCCCTATACCGTAGAGGTAGGGGTGCGGGGCGTAAGAAATCACTAACCGTAATTCGCGCGGGAGCAGCTTGAACTCGGGCGTGTCGCGCAGGGTGCACACTTTGAGGAGGCATAGGGTGCGGAGCGTGGGCTTGAAGTCGAATACGTGTAGATCATCAAGGTCGGCTAGGCCGGTAGCAGAATTGTCGATGGTCACGCCAACAGGCCTAAATTGAGGGTTCACGTGTTTTATAAAATCTACGCTCACATCGTACCACCGAAGAGATACACTTTGTCGTCGACGACCACGGTACACTGGCGCCGACGCTCACAGGGGAATTGGCCGGCGGGACGAAGCTAAAAGTAAATAATTAATAAATTCATAGAGTTATACGAAATCTGGTCGACCACACAGATTTGATGCCTGGAAAATCGCCAGTCACGGCCGGAACGAGACCGCGCGCAAGATTTTTAGCCCCCTTTTTGGGCGTGAAAATCGATAACTGGCAAATTCTGACACCATTTCTGGAATCAACACCCGATTTTGATGGTTTTCAAAGTTTCAATTATCAAAATTGCCTAGGAATTGCTGAATTTGACCGCCTAGAGGGCATTACTACATATAACCCCCTTCAAAATTGTGCTCACCATCGCCCAAACACCGGATTCTGGGTCATATGAGTAGAGATCGTTGAAATGCTTGTTCAGGGTGCCCTGGTAGCCGCCAAAGACGAACATCTTATTTTCGTACACCCCTAAAAAGATGTAATTGGCAAATCCAATCGCTCACAAGCAGAGTGAGAACGCCTTCCGCATGGCTTCGGTCCCTGTGATGAGGCGTCGGCCCATTTCAACGTCTGGAGATCAAGCACCTAAACCGGGTGTTGAGAAAAAAATTTGATCCTGACCTTAAGTCGCTCATCATAAATATCACGGGTAGAATGCGTCTCCCCCCATCTGATCACTGCGCCCTCCGTAGATGTACATTTTGTCGTTGATCGCCACTGCCGTGTGGAAATCCCTCCAAATGGGTGGATGACCCTAAAAAGGTAAATGTATAATTACCTTTTACTAGTTTACCGAAGTCGTCAACTTGGACCAGGTCTTGGTGAGGAAGTCAAAGGAATAAGTGTCTTGGCTGAAGCGCTGGAGCTCTTCTTCGAATCCGCCGAAGACGTACATACTGAAAACAATTCCTAGACGTCGCAAGATAGATCTAATGATGAATTTCATCCAATATAAGCCCGAAAACAATTCAGTTAAACAAACGGTGAATATTAGAGGCAATACGGTTGCATCGTAATATTTTTGTAGTCCTTACCGATGTCCCGATACGACAGCGGTGTGCCCATCTCTTGCCGGTGGCGGGTATCCCGAAGTTGAAACAAGCGTCCATTTCAGCGTTTCTAATCCAAATTGAACGAAATCAAAACCAAATAACCTGGATCGAACTGGTGTAGAAGATGGCTAGCACCATAGTCGTCATTGCGGCCGCCCCACAAGTACGCCTTGCCGCCGAACGCACAAACCGTATGGCCATAGCGAGGGTAGGGAACGTGGGCTGGTAGGGTAGATTGACTGAAATTTGTTGAATTGCTAGCAAAAACAACAACCCTTACAGTATGGGTGGGCCTTCTCCGTCCCATTCACCATCGCCCAGCATCGCGAGACCCGCGCGTTCGAAGACTTCTTGTTCAAAAGACATTGGCCCGATGGCGCGCTCCTTCGGAACGAGCAGCTCCTCGTTTTGGGCTTCGATCGGTGTCCATCGGTAGTTGGCTAAAACAGAAATTTTGATAATAGAACTTTATCTCTCACCTGGGTTTAACACATGAATATCTATAGGCCGATCCCGTGATTGTCGCTCGCCCGAGCAGTAACTGGAAAAAAAGGGGTTTTAGTTACAGAAAATCCACGCTTACCCGCCGAATGACCAAATGAATCCGTGAAGCTCGACAGCCGCGTGATTCACCCGACGCGGTCCGCCCTCGATGGCAATAGTCCACATCTAAATTTAAAATGTTGTACAAAGATTTGGAAGAAGAACAAGAACGGAGAAACGGAAGTAATACAGTTTGATACTCCTTCTAGTTCATCGATAAAATTCGTTGTAAGAGTAGGAAAGGAGCAAAACAGTTATCCGGGAATAGTTTTGCCTCGATTCGCGAGGTGTATTTTTGCAATTTCGATTGAATATTCGATGACAATTCGACTATTTCCAACATTTTCAGTAATTTAATGAAATGAATTGATGTAGGCAATCCTAATAATCCTAAGAAATAGACGAGATTTCCGGGGAATAGATCAAGAACGGTCAGTTAGCTAATCAGCGAATTCCTAGCCCCTGAAATTGTACAATTTCTTGTCGTAATCGCCCAGCAACAAACGGGAAAATTCAAAACATAAAAACCCGGGCTCCGGAGCTGAAATGGTCGAAGATTGACGCCCGATATTCACACAATAAGCATCCGCCGACTTTACAATGGGCTCTGGCCCCCTCCAGTCCACGACCACACGTTCAAAACAATGGGCGGGAAGGAGCGAATAGATAGCAAAAAGCAAAGCAGACGTCCCTGCGTCAATGGCAGTGAAGTGGGGAGGAAGAGGCTGTTCTTCTGCAAGAAAAAAACAAGGGGTCCCCCCACATGATGGCGGGGCCCTCGCTGCGGGGCATTCTCCCGGTTTCGGCTTACAAAAAGGTTGGCCAGGCAAAGTTGGTCATTTGATCTAGGTGGAGGGAAAGGTTGGCAAAAACTGCCTGGTTAAAAAGTTATTAGCTTTTTACAAGGTTTTACCAAACAATTTTTAAGACTAGCTATCATTAGACTAGCAAATTACGAATAAATAAAGCTTAGCAATAAAACCCGTTTTGATTTTACTATAACCTATTACATTACATTATTGAGAGCTCTAACTAAAGATTTTAGTATTTTCCTTGATGCTCTATCGAATCGCGTCTGAAAATATCGAAAAATTGCCAAAATATCGAAAACTAGCTAACGAATGAAAGTAAATTTTCAAATTAAGCCGCTATTGCGTCAAAATCTGGCATGCGGGAATTCGCGTCGAAACAGCTGTGATAAAATGAATGGCCAGGGGAAGCGCGACCCCCACCTGCTACGCTACATACTTTAGGCCCGTCCCCGGCAGGCGGATCATATCAGCTGTTGTGGCTGTGCTTATCAAGTGCCCTCAAAAAAACAGCTCGCCAGACACGTGGTGTCAATCAGATGCCAGAAGACAAGGTACATAGTTAGAAGGGGCAAAAATTGGAATCCAGGAAATAAAATAACCTATTTTTCGAGTACTTAAAATCCTTCGGAATTTGGTCGTTTTGATCCGATGGTGTTGAATTTTGTTAGCAACGATGCAAATCTAGAAAATCTATTATCTGCCAAACGTTCAGGGCAAAATATTGTTAAACAAAAAAGTTATCGCCAAATTAAGACAGATTTTGGCGATTTTGCTTCCGGCACTGGACTGTTAGCAGGGGGCGGGGAATTCGAGCAGCGGGAAACTAATTTTGTTTTCCGCCTACCTGTTCATATTCATTAATGTATTTTTATAATGTTTTAAATCGAAAACTAGTAGCCAACGGGGCATGTAAAAACGCGGACATACCCCTGGCTGCCGCCCCATAAAGTTGGGCCGTCGGCCCCCCGGTGCCGGAACATGCTGCTTGTTAAAAATATTGATCACGAACGGCGGGGTGTCGAGGGGGTGTCGTATCGGGGAGGGAGTAAAGCAAGATGGGCCGCGAATTGGCCCGGATGAACGATTGACCCTAGACCGGTCGCGCAGGTCGGTGAAAAATTGGAAAAGTACATGTGCCCCCTCACGACGTTGCCGCCGAAAAATTGAGAGAGGTAAACATGGGTGAAATTTGGCCGGACGTGTCGAGGTAGATGGTTATCTTGGTTGAATAAAATTGGGTGTAGAATGTAGATTATTTTGACTAGACTGATATTGTAAAATCTAGGAGTTTTCAGGTAAAAAAATCGTAGTAATCCAATAAATGACAACATCCGGAAAAGGCATTATCCCGACATAACTAATATAGGTATATCAAATTAAATGCTTAGGCTACAATTTTGAAGTTAGCACTAAGTTAGTAACTTGGGGAAAAATTATGAACATCATCCCGAAAAAAAATCGAAAAAGCCAGGCATATCACAGAAAAAAAGCGATTTTCCTGTCTAAAAACAAGTTTTTTTTATGCAAATGATTCGCTGATGCCCATAATTCAAATTTATGACAAATCAGACACTGCTGAAAACCGAAAATATTGTTCTAGGTCCCCCAGAACGAAACAGGAAAATCAGAGAGCACAGAGCACCCAAACCCCGGCCACTCTTAACTCTAAAAAGAAGAAGACGAAGAACGGGGGGATGAAGATTCCAAGGTCGGCCCTTCCTCGAAAAACTGGAGAGGCGCGAGACAAAATTCGGCGGGTTAGAAAAGAGTGCACACCGGCCCCACATGTGGACTAGGGGTAGGAGGAGGGCATAATATAGGGAAAATAGGGGAGGATGGAGGGATGAAGGGCGAGATTGAGGGAGAAGGGCCCAGGCAGGGGGAGGGTGACAGCAATTCCTGGGGCCAACCGATGGCTAGTCGAGAGGGCCAAAGCTCGACGAATGAGGCAGCCGGCTTAATGAGGGGTGCCGGCGGGGGGTGGAGAGGCGGGTAGGTTAGATTTTATAAAGGAAGTAAATTTATAAGGGAAGTTAGAGTTTAGTTTAGATTTTTTTTCTAGTTTGGATTTTAAATTAGGTAATTAGAGTTTTATTAATGAAGGTAAGTGTTCTCTATTTTTATGCCTTTAACGTAACTTATAGACCTCTAAAACCTCTAGATTTCTGAGGAAAAACGGAACAATAAATATTGGGTGATGTGTGGGAACGTTTTTGGGAACGTGTAGATAAGAACAGGGGGGCTGACTTGGCAGATGTCCAGTAAATTGATTGGGTCATACCGATCGCGCAAACGTTTTTTTTCAATTTTTTTCTTATTTTTCAAATATCGGCATTGGAAATGTTTCTAAACGCTTTTTGACTATTCATAAACGCGAAACTTTACAAATTTGATAAAAAAAAATCAAAGATATAGATTTTTCTAACAAAAATGGGCATTTTTTGACCAAAATTTCGACTTTTTCAAAATATTTTTAAAGTTTTAGATAGTTTTTCTAGTTGAAATATCGGTATATTTTACAAAAAACGCTATTAAAACATGTCCTAATAAACCACTAGACTTTTCTAGACGCATACAGGAAAGAAACCCTCAAAAATTCCACAAAATCGAAAATTTCCCGGAAACCAACTTGTCAAAAGACGCCCGACTTTTCGACGAGTGGCGCGCAAAGCGGCGGTAACGTTGAAGCAGAGAGAAAAAGTATGGGAATTGTTTGCCTGAAACTCTGGGGGTAAACAGGCGAACCGCCGAGAGCCAGGCATATACACAAGTTTCCCCCCAAAGATGTTTTGGTTTCGTGGCCGCCATGGGGCCGTGGGAGGATGCGATAAAAAAACAGACAGAGACGCCGATGTGTGTAGTGGATGCTAAAAATAACTTTGCGGTTGTAAAATTATTTTTAACGGTAGAGATACTGTACTTTAAATTCTTCAAGGTATAGTGGTTAAAATTTTAGCCCCCATCCCCTCCTCGCTACGCCTCCTAAGCCCGAGCCTAAGCCTAAGCCTAACCTAAGCTCACGACTGACTTTTTTAATTCGATAAAATCGAACTCTCAGCAACTTCTACCTCTTTTTTCGGCTTCTAGAAGCGGAAATATCGAAAAATCGTTACGTAGCTCTGTGTTATTTTTCAAGCGCTGCTCGCTGTATAATTTGTAGGGGGTGGAGGGAGTGACGGGCCGCGTAAACAAAGCTTCGCTCTATTTTGTTGATAAATTGAGGAGGGGATAGTAGGAAAAGCAAGCATTGGGAAGAAATCAAAACATCATTCAAAAAATGAACTCAGGGTTTATGGGGATTTTTTGGGGGATGCTAATTTTCCTTAAGCCTAAGTACGGGTTTTTAAGCGGGACCCGAAGATTCCTTTGGGAAGTGCAAAATTTAGATTTTTCTTTATTAGGTATAGACATCAGGAATAGTACGGCAACGGGAAACACTGGAATTGGAGTAAAACAAATGGATTTGGGATTTTAAAGGAGTAGTTCCGGGTCTATTTCTAGGTTAAATCCGGATTGGGGGCAGTGGTGGATAAGCGGAGCTAATTGGGGCTATTGACAATGTTTTTTAATTGGTAGGTTTCGTTCTTTCCTGATTAGGTAGAGTGCGAAAATAACAGTAAACTCAATGGATTTTGTATTTTTCGAGAGCCTTTGCGGTTTTATTTTTTAGGTTAATTCCGGATTGGGGGCGGCGGCGATAAAGCACCGTTAATTACGGCGATTGACAGCATGTTGTTGAGAATTTTTAGGGTTAGGATTTTTGAATAACAGGTAATTGTTTCCGGGTTTATTTTTAGTTTAATTCCGGATTTGGGGGCGATGGTGAACAATTGAGGGTCATTAAGGCCGCGCAAATTTTGTTAGGGGTTTTAGGGGTTTCGCTTAATAGCTATAAACCCCCAGTCAAAAACCCTCGAAAAATCACCCGGAGGCGGAAACGCGGAAAATGACAAGCCTCTCTGGGTGCCAGGGATCTTCTTCTTTTTTTCAGCTCTCCCTTCCGAAAATTTCTTCTCCCCCTCATCCTCCCCGCCCCCTAATAGGGCTGCCAGAGAGACACACACAAAATTCAAAAGGACATTGTTGTGTGTTCGGATGGAAGAGGAGGGCACAAAAGAAGGAGGTGGAATGGGACAGAGAGAGAAAGAGAAGGAGGAGGAGAAGGAGCAGGAGGGGGCATTTTCCTCAAAAAAAGGAGAATGACCGGAGGGCATGAAGGTCAAGAAGACGGCCATTTGAGGGACGGCGGTGACAGTTGGGGAAGAAGAAAACCGAGATCAATATCTCGGACCCATCCCGCGCGCCCTCTTACCC